TAATTAAAAGAGTCTTAAGTATTTCTTTCTTGGATTTTGAATGGAGCACCGACTGACACAGGCTTTGTAAACCTGCATTTTGGTTGAAGTAATGCAGCCGTACAAGACAATGTTTGTAGCTCAGGGGTTGAACTGTGAGGTCCTTGGTGCTCTCTGAGCTTGGTTGTTTTCTGGCAGATGTTTCATGACCCAACTAGGGAACAAGATTATTTTCGAGATTAGTGCAAGAAGGGGCAAAGCCCACTCCCTTTTAGCAGGGAGAACAATTAACCAGTGGAATGGCTTCCCTTCAGAGGTTGTGGGTGCTCCATCGCTGGAGGCTTTTAAGAAGAGATTGGGCAGCCCCTCGTCTGGAATGGTATAGGGTTTCCTGCCTGAGCAGGGGTTGGACTAGAAGATCTCTAAGTTCCCTTCCAACTCTGGTATTCTGTATTCTTCTTCTCCTCCTTCCTTCTTCCTCTTCTTCTTCCTTCCTTCCTCTTCTTTTTCTTCCTCCTCCTTCTTCTTCCTTCCTCTTCCTCTCCTCCTTCTCCTCTTCTTTTCTCCTCCTCCTTTCTTCCTTCCTTCCTTCTTCCTTCTTTTCTTCTCCTGCTCCTTCCTTCTACTTCTTCCCCTTCTTCCCCTCCTTCTTCCCCTCCTCCTCCTCCTTCCTCTTCTTCCTTCCTTCCTCTTCTTCTTCCTCTTCCTCTTCTTCCTCCTCCTCCTTCTTCCTTCCTCTTCCTGTCCTCCTCCCCCTCTTCTCCTTTTCTCCTCCTCCTTCCTTCCTTTCTTCCTTCTTTTCTTCTCCTGCTCCTTCTCCTCTCTCTCTCCCTTCCCCGCCCCCCCTTGGTTCCAGTTCTCTTTTCCTGCTGGGCGAGGAAAGACACAAAACGGGCCTCGTTTGCCTCTTTTCTCTGATTTAGCCCCCCTGAGCAACGTCCAGCCACCGCTCGTGTAGGACCTAAAACTCTGAACCAGTCTCCAATTTAGGAGAAAAAAACCCTCTTTGGTTTCTGGTTTGCTTTGTCTGCGGTTTCTTTAATCCAGCCACGCTTTGCTTTCTCCCCTCCAGCTGTGCCAGGGTTCCTAGGAGCATCCTCCGGGCAGCCACCTATGCGCCCCATCCAGAAGCCGCAAGTCATGGCTCAGCCGCCGGCCGGGTTCTTCGCCGGGCCCAGCCTCCCCGCCCCGCCGCCTCCCATGGCCACGGCCGCCTCCAGCTTCAGCACCGTGAACATGGAGGACCTGTCGTGCCTGGGCGTCTCCTCGCAGGCCCCGCCCTCCTCCATGGACACCGAAACCAGCATCGCCGATGCTTTCCTGCACCTCCACTTTGAAGGCGGGGACACCCTGGGGGGCCTCCTGGACGACGCCCCCTACAGCAGCCTGGATAGCATCAACACCACCGAGTTCCGGCAGCTGCTCAACGAAGGGTCCGGCCCGGCCCCAATGCCGGATGCCCAGGGGACTCTGATGACCTACCCGGAATCCATCACGCGCTTGGTCAGCCAGCGGAGGGCGGGAGGGGAGCCCGGCGGCAGGGGGGGACCCCCCGCCAATTCCGCCAACAGCAGCTTCAACGGCCTTTTGGGGACCTTCCAGGCCGAGGACAGCTTTTCGTCCATGTTGGACCTGGACTTGAACTCGCTCCTCAACTCGTAAGGATTCCCGGTGGTCCGAGACTGGCCTCTCGCTCTTCAGGCTACAGGGGGCTTCCGGTTGTATTCCAAGGGAGTGGGGGTGGGGGGGGGGGCCCGCCGGCTTCAGGCGGGGGGGGGGGGGGGGCTGGGCCCCCTGCAACTTGGACGGGACGTTCTGTGCCCGTCCCCCCCAAATCCCCCCCCCCCCACCAATAAGCCGCCCTCTTCAGGGAGCTGACAGTACGAACGTTAAGAGGGGAGTTTGACATCCATAGAGTTGGCTCTTCGGACTTTCCTGTCAAAATGCAATTCTCATTTTTTCTTTTCTTTTAAAAAAAGCCCCAAACTTCTGAAAGTTTCAAGACTAATTTTCAAATAATTTTCAAAACAAAACAAAATGCCACTTGGTTGTTGCCAGCTTGCCTTTTCTCCCCACGACGCTGGCCCACTTTTAAAAAAACAAAAAAAACCCAAAAACCCTGCAGAATTCTCTTTGCCTTTTGAAACAAGGCGGCCCATCGGCTACAAGGTAGTCCTCGGCTTACGACAGTTCATTTAGCGGCCATTCGAAGTAACAACGGCCCTGGAAAAAAGCGACTTAGGATCGTTGGGGCATTCCCCAGGGGTCACGTGATCCAAATCCAGACCGCTTGGCCACCGACTCGTATTTATGACGGTTGCAGTGTCTTGGGAGTCACGCGATTCCCTTTTGCGACCTTCTGACAAGTAAGTGGGGAAGCCAGATTCGCCTTAACCACCGTTTTTACTACCTTAACTGCAGTGGTTCGCTTAACACCTGTGGCCAGAAAGGCCGTAAAATGGGACAAACCTCACTTCAATATTTCACTCAACAGAAGCTTTGGGCTCAATTGTAGTCGTAACTCGAAGATTACCCGTATGGGACTGATGAAATGCCTGTTCTGTTTTTTGGGTAGAAACTTTCTATATTTTGTATAAAGACTCGTTTTGTGCCTTCAGCTGCTGTCGCTTTTCTGATTTGCCAAGTTAAAATGCTGGAATCTTCCCCCCCACCAAGCGGGATGTGATGTTTTTAAACAAAGGCACAAAGATCCTTCCGTCGAAAAATGGCTCTTGTTAGGCTCTGCAACTGTGTGTTGTTGGTCGAGCCAGGTCTTTTGTGTGTGTGTGTGTGTGTGTGTGTTCTGTAGGTCAGCCACAAAACTAGACCAGACAGTGAAGGACGCAGAAGTGAAGGAAGTCTTCGTTTCTTTTAGCTGGGTGATGTTCAGGCACAGTTAAGAAAAATTAAAGGGATTTAATGCACTGAATTTGATTTAAGGGGAGGGATCTGGCTTTGTAGAAGCAAGCAAGGTTCCCCTAATAGGTCAAAGCATATACCAGGGGTGTCCAACCTTGGCAACTTTAAGACTTGTGGACTTCAACTCCCAGCAAAGCTGGCTGAGGAATTCTGGGAGTTGAAGTCCACAAGTCTTAAAGTTGCCAAGGTTGGACACCCCTGGCATATATTAACCACGCTGGCTGGGTTAACACAAGGCCCAAAGCCACGGGAAAATAATCTGAAGCGTAGGGCGTTTTGTGTGTGAATGCAAACTGACATCCCAAAGAGATCAGAATAGCTTTTTCTTGCCTGCCTTCTGCTTTCTGGCTTGAGCAAAAGAGTTGAAAAGTTAAGTCAGTTTAGGCCGGAGGGAGAGTAACAACGATCCCTTAGTTGTGGATTCTGATGGGATCCCGCACATCAGTCCTGGAGGGTGCAGAGAAGGGAGCTGTGTTGGTGCCTTACTTCTTTTTGTACTATGCAACATGTTTTTAATTTTTATTAAAAAAAGAAAAAAGGGAGTGGATGTTTAAAACGTAGTTAACCTGCTGTTTAACTTTTTCAATGCATTTCTTTGCTTTTTCTTTTTTTTTTTTTGGCAATGTAAATTGACTGTACTTTATTTTGTCTTCTCCTCACTGTAGCAGGTTCTAAATAAACTAAAGCCTCAGCATTGCTATGTGGTAGCAAGGTGTGTGTTTTGGCTGAGTGAGTTACCCAAAGTTTTACAGGTAGTTCTCAACTTACAGCCGTTCGTTTAGGGAACCGTTCAGAATTACAAGAATTAACAC